TGGCTGGATTTAGCACGGCTGTTTGCTCCCTGCTCCCGAGCTGTGCCCAGGCTCCTGCAGGCACGGTGGCTGGGAGGGAGGGCTGGATACAGGAGGACAGAGAGATGGCAAAGGGATCACAGAGCTCGAGTCTTTCCCCCATTTTCAGTGTGAAACGTGTGGTGCTGAACCTCGCCCTCAGGTAACTCACATTCGTGCAGGTGTGTCAAATCATGGTTTAATTCCACAGCCACCGTGTGGGATGAGGTGCCCCAGACCTGGAGCCTTTTCCAGGTGAGTCTGCAGCCCTTGGCCGGGATGTGCAGGGCTGGGTCCGTCCCAGCAAAGCCGGGAGTGCTGCTGTGGAGGGGAATCTGCTGCCTGGCACCAAACGTAATTGGCTTTGATGGTCAGCGTTTGCAGATTTGTTTAGGAACTGGAAAATGTACAAATTGCAGCCCATCTGCGCAGAGCTGAGTGCTAATGAATGCCTGCAGCTACCACAGCCATAAGCTCATTACCACAAAGTTCCAAGTCCTTCCACAAGTTGCTAAACAAGGTTATTCATCTGAACGGAGTAGAGAAGGGAGTTTGACTGCAGGGCACAGCCAGAGCTCCTCCAGATCTGGAAAAGCTGTTAAAACAACCCCCTGCTCTTTGGTCTTTTAATAGAATCCGTTGATTTTATTTCTATTTTTAATTTTGCTCTCCTGTGACAGCAGCTTGCCATGCCTTAACTATTTTCTGTTAATGTTTCGAGTGGAACGGCGCCTTGCGGGCGATTCCTGGGTGTGCTCGGAGACGTTGGGTGGTGAACTGGAGAAGATGGATTGGAACACATCGAGCACAGTGTTTCAGGGGCTTTATGGACCATGCAGCAAACACTAATGGCCTCTGTTCTCAGGGTGTTTGTGTCACCTGGGAATCTGTTATGATGACTCGGCTCTTCCTCTGTGTGCCGTGTCAGGCGATTTCATCTTCCTGTTTCTTCACAAAAAAAGTGGAATTGAAAATACTTATTATCTGTTTTATAGAACTGGTAGTTGTCCAAGCATTTGAACATCCAATGCGTGGTACAGCAGGAGCAACGTGTAAAAATATTGTTGGGAGAATTTCCTTTTTTCTCTCAGATGAGATTTTATTCCATGTTCCTTGAGGAAAAATCAGCTTTTCTAAGTTACCAGCCAAAGGAAGTGTTTCCCCATCCAATTAACAAGGTCATGAGGTGCCTTTGGCCCACTCCACGTTTTCCTGTGCTCCTCCCTGCCAGGTGGAGTGGCTGAAGAACGAGGAGCCCATCGATTCCAACCTGGATGAGAACATCGACACCAGGGCCGACCACAACCTCATCATCCGCCAGGCGCGCCTGTCCGACTCGGGCAACTACACCTGCATGGCTGCCAACATCGTGGCCAAGAGGAGGAGCCTGTCGGCCACCGTGGTGGTCTATGGTCAGTGCCGGGGCTGGGGGCAGAGGTGGCTGTGCCCGCCGGGCCCTGCTTGGATCTGTGCTGCTCTTGCTGCACTGACGCAAGCCCGCCACGCTCGGGATCCCCCGGCCAAGCCCTCCCCGCTGGGGTGGGTGTGGGTTTGGTGCTGGGGGGCTCTGGCCCAGCCCCACAGCCCCTCAGCCCCCACGTCGGTGTTTTGCAGTGAACGGGGGCTGGTCCTCGTGGACGGAGTGGTCCAGCTGCAACGCGCGCTGCGGGCGGGGCTGGCAGAAACGCTCGCGCACCTGCACCAACCCCGCGCCCCTCAACGGGGGAGCCTTCTGCGAGGGCATGTCCGTGCAGAAAATCACCTGCACCTCCCTCTGCCCCGGTGAGTCCCCGGCCAGGGAGGGCTTTCGGTGGGAAGCAGCAGCAGGGAGTTGGGAAGGGAACGGGAAATGCAGCTGTGCTTGGGCTGAGCCTGCTGAGGGTGTGGGTGCAGTGCCAGCCACCTGTGGGCAGGCTGGAACTTACCCTGGCACTG